TGGGCTCAGTGGGGCAGAGGTGTCTCCAGCCCTGGCTCCAGGGTGGATGCATCAAAGCGCCCTGCTCACCAGGGGACTTGAGCGCCAGCTGCCCTTTGTCCCTCTCTGCCTCTGCCCTGCGGAAGGGTGATCAGGACCTGGTGACCAGGTCTACGTGACTTGGACCAGAGTCCCAGGATGGAGGACACAGCTGGGGACAGAGCCAGGGAGCGGTGTGTGGCAGAGGAGTGACAGGTTTTAGGCTGTGGCAGCTCCTTGTCCCTCTGTGTCCACTGCCCGCCCCCCATGGCACCGATCTGCTCTGGGTGTCCCAACCTGGGCCATGCTGCATTGCTTTGGGGGCAAGGTCTGAAGCAACTGAGCACAAAAAGGGGGACATGGGAAAGGGGACTGGGGCTCGCAGAGCCAGCTCCGCCTGACCTTTGCAAGGACAACAAAAGCTGTCCCTTTGCCCTTGAGCCTACTAAGGTGGGGCCGAGGGGACCTTGAGCCACCAGGGGCCGGGTGTCCAAAGGAGGGGGTGGGTCAGGCAGTCCCAGGTGGCATTAGAAGGTTCTGGAAGGAGAGGACGGGGAGATCGGGGGTCAGAAATCCAGGGCACCAGGTCAGCTCCAAACAGGGCATGGAGCTGACTGGGGCTGGGGACACAGGACCCCCAGGGAGGACAGTTCTCTGGTTCTAGGGTGCATGGTGCCCGGGGGACCCTGGGTTCCTTATCTGGGATAAAATCAAGCTCACCGGCTGCTCCGGAGACAGCAGGACACATCCTGAGGGCCAGCTTCTGGGACTGACCCTCGTCCTTCCCCACTCTGCCTGGCCGTCACCCTGGGTGGCGCCCTGGGACCTGAGCAGGGAAGGTGATCTTGGGGCCCAGCTAACCCTGCATCTCCTGCCCTGTCCCCTGATTTCCCAGCTCTGTGTGGGCAGTGCAGCCCCAGGGCTGGGGACTGACGGTGCAGCCGCCTCTGTCTCCAGTGTCTTGGTGCTCAGAGTGTCAATCTCCTGAGCTTTGTCAGAATGAGGAGCCACATAGAGCAGCCTGGAAGAGCCATCCCTTAAGCAAGGGCGACAGGGAGCTTTTTGTTCTCCTTTGTCACGATGCGGCTGAAGCTGGCACCCAAGGCCCAGCACTTCCTGTGGTGCCTCCCAGGGCCCCGATGCCTCCGCTCTTCTGCTTGCTCCATGGATGGGGAGGGTCCACGTAACTATGGTCACCTTGCTGTCTGCATGTGCATCCTGAGCCCTCGTGACCCCAGCTGCGGGACTCCCGTCTCACCTGGGGACCCTGGGCTTGAAATCACGTGGTCGTCACAGACACAGGGTCTCTTCGGGGTCTGTGGAAATTGCATTTATCTTAAGAGCTGCTGAATTACACACTTTCAAAGGGAGACATTTAGCCAGGCACTGCCGCATGCCTGTCATCTCAGCTCTCTGAGAGGCTGAGGCAGGAGCATTGCATGTTCAAGACCAGCCTGGGCAACTTAGCGAGAACTTGTCTCAAAATAAAAAGGGGCTGGGGAGGGAGCTCAGTGCGAAGGCCCTGGCTTCAGGCTGCTACCATTGCAGTGACATCTGCCCCCTGTGGTTGGTCCCCCTGGAGGCCTGGGGCAGCTTCTACCTGGCTGCCCACCCCCCCCAGTCCGGATGGCCGTGCAGCCCCAAGCCCTGTGCTCTCCTCTCTGTATCCTGAAATCCACACCATTCCTGGTTTAATTGTACACTTTGAATGGATGGCCTGTATTATGTGAACAATGTGTCTCAATAGGGTTGTTCAAAACAAAAAAGATCTTTACCATTCAGTCTGTATACTCAATATAATAGATTGGCCTCTCTCTTTCCTGGTTTTGACACTATCACATAGTTTTGTAAAGTGTCACTATTAGAGAAACCGGACAAAAGGTACAAGATCCCTCCATGCTGTCTTTGCAACTTCCTATGAGTTGCAATTGATTCAAGAGTTGAAAGCAGAGTTATATGCATAGCCAGTTCCTGTGAGGTGGAGACATGGAGTCTTGGCCTCCAGCAGCTCTGTGGGGATGCTGCTCCAGCCCTTTCATCATGCATCCCTGCTGACAGCTGCTGCCAGGGCCACCTTTCTTGCCTTAGGGCCCCAAAAGCACCAGTCCCAAGAGGAGGATCTTGGTTGAGCTAATCTTTCAGGCTTCCCTTAAGGGCAGTTCAGAACATTTCTGCAGCTTGGGCGCCACCTGCAGTTGACAGTGGCTATTTCAGCAAATTAACTGGAGCTCAGGAAAAACAGTGCACCCCAGCATTTATTTATTTATTTATTTATTTATTTATTTATTTATTTATACATTTTTAAATTTTTTTCCCAGTACTGGAGATCGAACTCAGGAACTTGAGCTTGAAAGGCAGGCACAGCACCACTGAGCTACATCCCCAGCCCTCCAGCTTAGCATTTTAAAAAAGAAAAAAACCCTGAAATTTTTAATTAAAAATATTTTTTTCAGTACTGGAGATTGAACTCAGGGCCTTTGCACTGAGCTGCATCCCCAGCCCTTTTGTTTATTTTGAGATGGCGTCTTGCTAAGTCATTAAGTTCCCCAGGCTGCATATGAACTTGCCATCCTCCTGCCTCAGCTTCCCAGATTGCTAGGATTACAGGTGGGCACCACCATTCCTGGCCAGAAAAAAAATTTTAAGCTGGGCCTGGTGGCGCACACCTGTAACCCCAGCACTTGAGAGGCTGAGGCAGAAGGATTGCTCCGAGTTTGAGACGAGCCTAGGCTACATAGTGAGTTCAAGGCCAGCCTGAACTGCATAGCGAGACCCTGCCTGAAAAAAAAAATTACGATGTTATTTTAAATGAACTTTTCTTTTAAGGTGCTGAGGATGGAACCCAGGGCCTCATGCATGACTCCCTGAGCCACACCCCCAGCCCTAAAATGAGCTTTAAATTTTAGCATCAGTTTACAATTTCAGAGGAGTTACAGAGAACATCAGAGGGTCCGACCAGCTTTGCCGGGTGTCCTGTAGCAGCGGTCCCCAATCTTTGGCACCAGGGACCGATTTTCTGGGAGATGATTTTCCCACGGGTGGGGAGGGGTGGAAGGTGGCACGGTGATGATCCCGCGCATGCGCAGTTCACAGCGGGCTTTTCCTCTGAGAATTTAAGGCCAAGCTGATCCTGCAAGAGGCGGTGCTGGGCAGTGATGGAAAGATGGGAGCGGCTGGAACCAGGCAGCTTCGCTCTCTGCTCACCTGCTGAGCCGCCCTGCTAGAGACCCCTGTTGTATAGAGCTTCTCCACCTGCATGTGTCTAAGGTGTTTTTATTGTGGGTTTGGGGCAGAACACCCAGAATTGAAGCGCTGTTCTTGTTGTATTGTATCTGGTGAAGCCAGAATTTATTGAAAACTGAGTATATGCACACACACACAAAAACTTTATAAAAATGATCTCATTTAGCGGGGCATGGTGGCACACACCTGTCATCCCAGCACTCGGAGAGGCCGAGGCAGGAGGATGGAAAGTTCAAGCCCAGCCTCCACAATACAGCAATTTAGGAAGACTCTGTCTCAATGAATGAAAAAGGGGTGGGGATGTAGCTCAGTGCAAAGGCCCTGGGTTCAGTCCCTAGTTCCACACAATAAGTAAGTCACCTCATTCTGTCCTTAGGAAAGGCCAGTGAGGCTGGGTGTGGCCCTGGCTGGCCGAGGAGGATCCAGACCAGCCCCCTCCCCCCACGCCTGCTGTCTACTCTGGGTAGTAGCTGAGCTGGGGACAGTTTTCCGTGGACCTCGCTCCATTTCCTGAGCTCAGGCACCAAATTCCCAGCCTCCTTCCCCATGTAGCCCTGACCTGGCCACCAGTAAATGACATGACCACCTTGCCAGCGGCCAGCCTCGGGGTCCTGGGCCCTGCGTTCCGAGGGCTCCCCGTGCCGTGTCTGGTGGTTCTAGAGCTCCCCAACTCAAGGCCCCCAGCCACTTCTTGTCATATATGGGGTCACTGGGGTCTCCTGGGGCGTGACTGTGCCCCAGGGGATGCTGGGCCATGGCTGGGGACGCGTGCGGCCGTCACGACTCCCGGAGCTGCTGGCACAGAATGAGTGGAGGGCAGGGATGCCATGCAGAGCCCGGGACGCACCAGAGCACATGCTGGCCCGAGTGTACACAGGGATGGAGACACTAAGCATGAATTATTGGGGGGGTGTCAGGGTCCCAAGACCCTACACAGTGACCTTCTTGGGGGGTCCAACTCGGCACGTGGTCGTTTGTATAGCAACAGCACCCGAAGCAGAGCCAGCCCTGGGAAACGGCGCCTGGGCTGCTGGGAGGCCGGGCGGGGATTGCGGAGCTCTCCTCCAAGGCGCCACCTGCTGGTCGCCCGGACGCGGTGGGCACAGAGCGCTGACTCAGCTCTCCTTCCTCTTGAAGCGCCAATCATGCAATTGAACATCTTTTCACCAACAACAAAAGTCACGTGACCGGCGACCCTCAGGTCCAATTTACTTTCAAACACATGGAAGAGTCACAGTATGGCGCTGTGCACCACGAGTACACCTTTCTTGCCAAATTGTCTTCTTATATTTAACCTCTGTACTTTTTTTTTTGATACTGGGAATTGAACTCGGTACCTTGCTCTTGTGAAGCAGGTGGCAGAACCACTGAGCTAAATCTCCAGCTAACCTCTGTACTTTAAAGCCTACCACTCTCCCCACAGTTAGGCAGAGGGACTCCAGGGCAAGATTCTCCAAAAGATTTCTATCATGGTCTTTGCTGGGCACTCTGGGAGGCTGAGGCAGGAGGATCACAAGTTTGAGCCCAGCTTGGGCAACCGAGAGACTTAGCAAAACTCTGTCTCAAAATAAGTAAAAAGGGATGGGGATGCAGCTCAGTGAGAGGCCTTGGCTTTTATCCCCAGTACTGCAAAACAAACAGATCTCTGTCACTGTCTACATCTAGGCTTGTACCTTTCTGCCACCCTTTGGCTCCTCCCACCACGGGCCCCAGACTCATGCACTGTGTTTTTCCTCCAGGGAGTGAAGCTGTGGAGCCGGGACCTTGGGCTGGGGACTTGAGGCCTCACGCACAGGTAGGTGCCCTGATATTTGTCTTTGCTCTGTGTACCACGATCGCTTGGTGCTTTTGAAGCCTGGATGAGAACAGGAGTTGGGCTGTGTCCTGGCTGTGTTGGGACGAATCCAAGGGCTGGTCTCCAGGGACAGCAGGGACTGCGATGGTGCCTGGCTGCCGACCGTGTGTCTCACCGTGAAGTGAGGGTCACAGCATTGCAGGCTCTGGTCTTGGGGAAGACCAGACAGTGTGAAAGCAGAAGTTCGTGGCCGTGCCACCTGCCTTTCGGTTGTCCTGATGCCGTCCCAGAGGGGTCTGCAGGGAGCTTCTGTCCTCTGCCTCCTTCACCTGGTTTCATGAAGGGCAGTAGTCATTGCCGAGGGCAGAGCTCAGTCTGGGCCAGGATCCAGAGGATACAGAGGACTGAAATGTGTTGTCTTAGTCTGTTTTCTGTTGCTATAACAAAGTGCAAGAGGCTGGGTATTTTATAAAGAAAAAGGTTTCTTTGGCTTCCAGTTCTGAGGGGAGAGTGATGCCCGCACCTGGTAAGGGCTTCCTTCTGTATCACAGCAGAGCAGGTGGCATCCCACACAGGAACTTGGGGAAAACGTGAGTGTCGTGTGCACAAGAATCACACAGCCAGACACACAGTAGGGGCCTCTTGGTTTTTTTAAAGTTTTGAAACAGGGTCTTGCTAAGTTGCTAAGTTGCCCAGGCTGCATTTGAACTGGCATTCCTCCTGCCTCAGCCTCCCAGAGTGGTGGGATGACAGGCATGCACCACCATGTCCTACATGTTTAACTTTGTTTTAAGTTTCTGATGCTGGCAAGGCGTATATGGGGGCGCTGAGCATGAGAGGCCAGGGAACCTCACCGCCACTCGTGGTCATCTATGTCAGGCTTGGACACACTTCTACTTCCTGTAAAAATGGGGAGGGGCATAGAAAGCAGACCAAGGCCCCCTAAACTGCCTTCTACATGATGACCATCATTATGGTCTTTTTGGTTTTTTTTTTTTGGTACCGGGGATCGAACTTAGGACCTTGCACTTGCAAGGCAGGCGGCGGAACCACTGAGCTAAATCCCCAGCCCATTAAGGTCTTAATTCTTAAATTATTTTATTAGTATACTTGTAGTACTTAATGTTTGCATTCCTCCTCCTCCCTCCATTTCTTGGTCTCCTTTCCATTTGAGAAAGAACTATCTCCCTACTTCCTATTATCTACCTTTTATTTTGCTCTTTATGTACACTTTGTATTTCTCATATAGGAGAAACCATGTGCTATTTAAGCTTGTGTATTCAATTTGTTTCACTTCACATTATGGTCTCAAGATGCACCCATTGTTCTACACATGACTCAGAGTCATACCCCTCTGTGTGTAAATACCACATTTTCTTTCTCTACTCATCTGTTGATGGATATTCAGTGGTACTTCAGTTCACGAACTCAATTCTCTCCACAATTCTGGTCGCAAACTGAACTGGACGAGAACCGAATCAAATTTTCCCATCAGGTCAACATTGAATTTAACCACTGAACTTGATTTCGTTCTCGCCCAACTCAGTTTGTGACCAGAATCATGGAAAGAATTGAGTCTGTGAACCGAGGCACCACTGTATCTGCTACTTCCAAGATTTAGTTATTATGAATTGTGCTGCTGTAAACACAGGTATCATGAATTGCATTTGTGGATGTACACACCTAGAGTTTTAGATCAGCAGGATTTTTTTTGTTTTTGAGGGTCTGGTACATGCTAATCAAACATTCTACCACTGAACCATACCCCAGCTCTTGAAAAAACATTGTTTTTTATGGTTGCTCTTTTTTTTTTTTTTTTTTTTTTGGTACCAGGGATCAAACTCGGGTCCTTGAGCTTGTGCAGCAGGCGGCGAAACCACTGAGCTAAATCTGCGGCCCAAAAAAACATTGTTTTTTAAGACAGGGTCTCACTGAGTTCCCCAGAGCTAAATCTGCGGCCCAAAAAAACATTGTTTTTTAAGACAGGGTCTCACTGAGTTCCCCAGGCTGGGCCTAGACTTGAGATCCTCTTGTCTCAGCCTCCTAGAGTGCTTGGATGACAGCTGTGAGCCACCACACCTGGCTCCTTAGGGGCTTCTGACATGAATTGTTGCTGTGTTTTTTACAGACCTTTCCACTGGCTTTTAAAATATATATATATTATATATATTATATAATATATATATAATATATATATACATCAGGATTCTCCATTGTCTTTTTTGCATCATTCTTCACATTTTAAGATTATTTTAAAAATCCCCTGTACCTTGCTTTGGCTGCAGGCTTTACGCTTATGTCTTTACTTCCCTTGTGGGTCTCACTAGGGTGATGCGGACCCCACCCTGGACACTCAGGACACTGGGTAAAGAGGGAGACAAGTGTGGGTCGCCCAGGGGCGCAAAGGGGGTGGGGCCAGGAGTGCCGCTCAGCACCCGAAGGGCCCGGGACACTGCGCAGCCAGCACGTGCCTCTAAGGTCAGTGCCACAGTGGCTGGGACGCCCGGTATGGGGCCAGGGGTCGGTGCTGGTGCCGAGTGTTCTGTTACGCAGTTACCCTTTCCTGCGGGAATCTTCGGAGAGGGTGGCCAAGGCTGCTCCTACTTTGTCAACAAACAGCCGCCGCGTGGTGTGAGAAGCACACACAGGCACCATGGACTCCTCACCCTGCGGGGCCCGCGGGGGATGGGACGAAGGCTCCGCGGGCTGCCAGATTCCCGCAGGGACCTCTTTGCTAAGTGGAAGTCTGTCTAGGACAGCCAGTATGTCACCAAGTGAAGCTACAGTCTCAGGCTCTGATCAGCGGCTTTGACTTTCTTTTAAAGGGTGGGAGTACGCCTGTAATCCAGGTACTAACTGAGCCTGAGGCAGGAGGGTCTCAATTTCGAGCTCAGACTGGGCAATTTAATGAGACCCTGTCTCCAAATAAAAAAATAAAAAGGGGATCGCTTCTCGGCCTTTTGGCTAAGATCAAGTGTAAAAAAATAAAAAGGGATGCGGATGTAGCTCAGTGCAAGGCAGTGGGTTCCATCCCCACTACCCCGACCCCCCAACACACACTCCTGCCCCCCACCCCCACCCCGGCCCAGGATTGTGAGCTTGCGCTGAGGCGCCTGGCGCCGCCGTTGTAGGCCTGTAGTTACCAGCTGTGGCCAGCAGGGGGCAGAGGAGGTCCGTGAGTTCCCAGGATGCGCCTGATGCCCGCGGGTGGGGGTGGGCGCAGGTGGCTGTACCTGTGGCCCGCCAGCTCCACACCCCCGTTGTAAAGTCCTGTGATCAGCCTCTCTTCTTTGTGCCCAGTACTGAGCTGTGCCGTATGGGGCCGGGGACCCTCAGTGGATGAGCGCTGCTCGGCCTGCTGCTCGCCTGTCGTCGTCCTCGCGGAGCACAAGGGCTCTGAGGCCTGCACAGCTCAGAGCGGCTTCTCTGAGAGGTCCTTGTCCCCGGGAGGTAGGGACCGGCTCAGCTGGAAGCACGGGGAGGTTTTAGGCCCTGGTGCTGCGGGCGCCCCCCCTGGGCGGGCGTGGTGCAGGCACCGCATTAGCAGCCTTCGCGGGCGACCTGTTCCCAGGCGCAGGCGCCGAGGGAACCGTCAGAGCCTCACGGGGCTCCCTGTGCTCACGGGCGCGGGTGCCCGCAGAAAGCACGTACAGTGCGTGTGTGATTATGGGGCGCTGTGCCGACCCCCTCAGGGGCCTCTGCGGCGGCCTGGAGCGCCCCGGCCCTGGTTTCTCCCCAAAGCCTCGCTTCTCCCTTGAGGCCGCTGCCTGTCCCCGGGGAACACAGCAAGCTCTGGGGACGAATGTGCTCGTCACAGACGAGGCAGCGCCCTGCTCTTCTGAGCCCTGTGGATTCGGCTTCTCTCCTAGGTCTATGATTGCTTCCGCTTTTCCTGATTTGAAAACCGAGGTCCAGAGAGGTTCTTGCCTGCGATCCATGGGCGGGGAACCCACCGGTCCCGCTGGCGGAGCCCCCGGCCATCACGCATGCGCACATCGTTTAGCTATGCCGGGCAGAGCCCGCGCCCCCGCCCTGCGCCCCAAGCCGGGAAGGTGCCCAACTCTGCAGGCATCGGATTCACGGCCACGCAGCCTGCACTGACTCAGCACACGTGGGGGTGACAGTCACGGACGATAAGGAGTCAAAGGCTGGAGGGCCCCGGGGGAGGCAGGAGAGTGGGCAGACGGCATCGCATCATGCACGGCGTATTCACAGCTCTGGCCACTGCCCAGGAACCGGGGCGTTGGCAGACGAGGGCTCCGTATTGTATTTTCTGTCCCCACCGCATTCGCGCAGTTAGTGCACACCCACGTGCTTGTCCGCATCTGTCTGCAGAAAGCCTCCAGTGTGACAGAGCAGACACATGGCAGATGGGGAAGCCACAACCTAGCGGGCCAAGGTGGCATCTGCTCAGGAGCTGCAGGCAGCCAGGCTTAGTGGCACACATCTGTCATCCCAGCACTCTTAAGAGGCTGAGACAGGAGGATCTCAAGTTTGAGCCAGCCTGAACAACTTAGTGACTCAATGAGACCCTGCCTGAAAAGAAAAAATAAAACGGGCCAGGAGTGTAGTTCAGTGCAAAGCCTTGGGTTCAATCCCCAGTACCGGAGCAGCAGCTGGGGGCACTGTGGAAAGGGCTCCCATGCCACCATGGGGTTGAGGACCACGGAAGCCCAAGTAGGTACACCAAGGCCCACCAGTGCCGGATGTGCTGAGGCCACTCACCAAAATGTCTGCCTTGGCTTTCTTTATTTGTGGCTTTGGCTGATCATGGCTCTGAATTACTGTACTTTTTTTCTTCTTTACTGGAGATTGAACCCAAGGCCTTTTGCTCTGAGCTGCATCCCTACCTCTTCTCTGTTTTTCATTTTGAGACAGGGTCTCACTAAGTTCCTATATTGCCCAGGCTGAGCTTGAACTTGTGGTCCTCTTGCCTCAGCCTCCCAGAGGGCTAGGATGACAGGTGTGCACCCCCATGCCAGTGAAGAAGACAGCTTTGACTAACCTGCACTGTTGGCTGGGTGTGGGGGCACCTGCCTGTCATCATAGCACTTGGGAGGCTGAGGCAGGAGGATCACTGTGAGTTTGGCATCCACCTAGGCTACCTAGTGAGATCTTGTCTCAAAACCCCCCCAAAAAATAAAATAAATAAACTGTACAGCTTATTCCCTTGTCACTAGTGCTTCCCATCTTGTTCTGTCTCTGGCCCAGGGGCCCACCCAGCAGCAGTCCTGGTCACTTTTGGTCATGAAGTGTCCTCAGGCTCCTCAGGGCTGTGATGATGCCTCTGTCTGTCCTGTCCCCAGCACCTTGACCATCCATGAAACTCCAGCCGGTGTTCTGTGGAGCCCTTGATCAGGTTTTCTGTTTTCATGTGATCAGCCCGAGGTTATGAGATTTGGGGACACACACAGAGACAGGGGACCCTCTCCTCCCATCCTATCAGGATCGCCCCCCACAATGTCACCTGTGAGTTGCCCTCGACTGTCTGGTGGAGGTGGGGTCCTCAGGTGTCCCTGGGGCCAACCTGGCTTCCTGCTCTGTTCTTTGCCAGCTGGCCCCTGAGTCCCACCCATGCTTAGGGGAGGGAAAGTGATGGACCCCACCTCGTGGATGGGGACAGCTGCTTTTTCCAGGCAGAATCCTTCCCAATGACCTGCTCAAATACACATTGTAACTTTCTTATTAAGAGCGCTACATGGTCCTGTCAAGTAAAAGAACCAATATCCCAGTCATTTCATTCTTCCCAAAGTCCCTAGTAATCCCACACCAGCCCCTTATTCTCCCTGCATGTAAAGAGATGGGTTTGGAGAAAGTCCCAGGGTGGTATTTAAAAATAGCAATAGAGGGCCAGGGATTTAGCTCAGTGGTTTTGCTGCCTGCCGCCCAAGCACAAGGACCCGAGTTCCATCCCAGGTACCAAAAAAACAAAATAGCAATAGAGGGCCAGGGATTTAGCTCAGTGGTGCCACTACCAGCCTCTCAAGCACAAGGTCCTGAGTTTGATTCCCAGGGCAAAAAAATACATATACTTGTAAACCCACGGAATAGAATAGAATAGAATAGAATAAAATAAAATAAAATAAATATAGCAATAGCTGGGGATGGTGGCCCATGCCCTGTCATCCCAGCACTCTGGGAGGCTGAGGCAGGAGGATCACAAGTTCAAATTCACCCTGGGCAACCTAGCAACTCACCATGACCCTGTCTCAAAATAAAAAGTAAAAAGGGGTGAGGGTGGAGCTTAGTGTGAAGGCCCTGTGTTCCAACCCCAGTACTGCAAAAATCAATCAATAAAGATTCCCTCCTAAGATGTAAAAATCAAGGCATAAAATACATATCGCTTTGGTGTGTGTGTGTGTGTGCGTGTGTGTGTGTGTGTGTATGTGTTGCGGTGCTGGATGGAACCTAAGGCCTTGCCCAGGGTGGGCAATCACTCACCACTGAGCTATACCCCTCACCCCCAGATGTTTTGGGGCTCCACTCAAAGAAGAAAGACATAAGAGAGATCACTGCAGAAACAGGTGCCCTGGGAGCAACATCCCTGGGCCTTTGAGTTCAGCAGTGTCAAATCTTCATCACCAGCTGTTTTTGGCCCCTGCCTGCTTTTCTGAAGAAAGGTTTTTGTTTTTTGTGGGGATTTTTGGTACCGAGGATCGAACTCAGGACCTTGCACTTGCGAGGCAGGAGGTGGAACCACTGAGCTAAATCCCCGGCCCTTGAATAAAGTTTTATTGGCACATAGCCCCACCCATCCAGTGGCACAGCGTCCACCTGGCATTTGCTCTGAGTGAGGTGTGGGGAGGTGTTGGATGGTTGCCATAGAAACTGCCTGACCTGCACAGCCCAAAAATATTCTGTGCCTGTCCTTTTAAAGGAAAAGTTTGTTGGCCCTGCTGTAGAGAGGTCCCTTTCAGCCTGTGGTGGGGCCCTGGCTGTGTCTCTGTCCCTGGTTGTCCTCCTGCCTGGCCACTGTCCCCACCTGCATGGTCTTCAAGGAGCCCTGCAGCTCAGCACAAATGGCCCTGGAATCAGCTCCACCCCTGCTTTTGTGAATAAAGTCCTCGCCTCCACCCCTTCTCTGCTCTGAGCTGTTCTTTTCGGGCACAGTTGTCCTTATTTGGCTAGAAGCCCCAGAAACATGAGAGGCTACGTTGGCTGGTTCCTCTCCTTCTCCTTTCCTGCCTCCTTTCTCTCTGAGCAGTGGCATTTCTAGGGTCAGTCGGCTTCACTGAGAAGTTGGTGAGAATAGGAAAGATTTGTTAGAATTGGAGTGGAAAATTGAGGCCCCAGGCCAACTCCCGCCCTCAACTTCATTTTTTTTTTTTTGGTACCAGGGATCGAACTCAACTTCATTTTGCATAAGTAAAGTTTTATTGGCACACAGCCATGGCCCCTCATTTATTGTGATTGCCTACTTATTTATTTATTCATTTATTTCCAGTACTGAGGTTTGAACACAGAGCCTTCACATTGAGCTACATCCCCAACCCTTATTTATTTATTTAGGTACTGGGGATCAAACTCGGGACCTTGCGCTTTCGAGGCAGGCACCGGAACCACTGAGCTAAATCCCTGGCCCCCCTTTTTGTTTTTTTATTCTGAGACAGGGTCTCACTAAGTTGTCCAGGCTGGGCTTCAACTTGGGATCCTCCTGCCTTAGCCTCAGTCCCTGCCTCTCAGAGGTGGCTGTATGGAAAGTTGTGTATAATAAACGCATGGCTCTCTTCCTCCTTCTCCTCCTATCCTATGCCTATCAGCTAGTTGTTGCTGTGTAACAAGGCACTACAAACTGAGCAGCTTATAAAACACTCATTTATCAGCTCACAGTTCTGTGGGTTGGAAATCTGCCTTGGCTGGGTCTTTACATTGGTCTTCGCACACTCCCGGTCTCTCACTTCAGGAGGGCTCATTCACCTGGTTAGTTCAGGCCCATCAGGAAAGCCAACAGCAGACCTTATTTTCCTCTTCAGATTCCCTTCTTCCATAGAAAAGTCTAATTCTCCTCCTTCCTTTTTTCTTGCACACTGGAAATGGTGCCCGGGTGCACAGGCTGAAGCTGGGAGTGCCGTGGGCTGTCACTCCCAGGGTTAGGTTGATGTCAAGGGCTGAAAAGGATTTTATAGATGTCATAAAGAGCATTGTTCCACCTGAGAAATTTCATGAACACCAAAGCAGCACTCCAAACAATTCTAAGCAATATCCTAGAAAAAGACAATGAAGGTCACAACTCCATGAGGCCCAACAGAGGGAAGCCACCAGGCAAGTCAAGAAACTAAAGGGAATGGGGGAA